ATACTTGGTTATGATTATACAAGTGGATATCTATGTGTTTTAATTATACTTGGTTATGATTATACAAGTGGATATCTATGTGTTTTAATTATATTTCCTTATGATTATGCAAGTGGATATCTATGTGTTTTAATTATATTTCCTTATGGTTATGCAAGTGGATATCTATGTGTTTTACTTATATTTCCTTATGGTTATGTAAGTGGATATCTATGCGTTTTAATTATATTTCCTTATGGTTATGCAAAAGGATATCTATGTGTTTTAATTATATTTCCTTATGGTTATGCAAGTGGATATCTATGTGTTTTAATTATATTTCCTTATGGTTATGTAAGTGGATATCTATGCGTTTTAATTATATTTCCTTATGGTTATGCAAATGGATATCTATGAGTTTTAATTATATTTCTTTATGGTTGGTTATACTCTAATCGAATAGTAGAATGCACCCATCATTCTGAAAACGCATCCATAGTCCCCGATCGTGGAGCTACAGAAACGGGACGCGAACCACTGACCCTCGGATACACACTCTAGTATGTTAACCACTAGGTCAAGCTCAGTCCATTTTTATAACACGTTTTGAAAATGTCGATATCTGTGTTTATGTTTTCTTTCTTGATATATCCGTATATGAAAGTCAGTGTTATTATCTGTTCTTCTTCCTAATTTTCGTGAATGTTCCAATTATTTATTTTTATTATAATCAGGGAAGCTCTTTTATAAGTTAGCACGGTACGTGTCATTTTTCAATTCGCTATAAAATATCATGGCTTTTTGGCATAACTTTACTGTTATGCTGACAAACCCCACATAAGGGGAAGAACACACGATTATAAGGAAGTATATCGGTTAGCTTAATCAACCATATCCTTAGTCATTCATATCATCAGAATCCTATGTAATGAAAAGAAAGTTTAAAGTTATGTTGGAAAAGAAATCTAATTATATGTCATCTAAACCTTAAGGTATTGATATTTTAAATCTGAATGGCACTCAAAGTGACACATGAGCTGAATGGCCAGGTCAGAGACCTCCAGATTCAGACCACAAACAATTCCCTAATCTAGAACTGCTGGTAAAATGGAAGGAAACCAACTAGAAGCACCCACTGCCTTAGTGGTTATTTGAAAAGAATAGCAAAATTACTCTGTCATAGCTGTAACGCTCCCACAGCTGAAAGTGTGGAGTGTGTTCTATGGCATATTGCACATTGGATTCTCTCAAGCCTTCCACTAGATTCTAGATAAAAGACACAGTTAAATCTAGGGGAATCTGGTCGGATATAAAAGAGATAACATACGTCACTTGCCTTTCAAATAGGGCAGGTAAAAGGCATATTACTTAGAAAAGACAACAAAATGAGAAAAAACTTACCTGCACACAGAATCTCGTGTAATGGATAATATTTTTATACCTTACTCCGTATTTTTTCACATGGCAACTTTTCTATTCTCATTGGCACAGTAGAAGAGAACGTTTCTAAAGAGGTACGTGTATATGCGTATCTAACTGTCACTCATAATCATTCAAAACTAGTCCCAATTGAAAGAAAAGGCCTTTAAGAAAGATATCTAGTTGAATATCAGATACCCTAATAAATTTGATATAACCTACTCTTACTTAAAACAAATAGCAGAAAATTATAATGTAATATATCATTGCAAGCACACGAGTTAACGACTACAAATAGGACGTGCTACAATTCTTATGACTCACAACACGATAATGACCCAAAGTAACGCACAAAATTGCCTCTCGGTTTCAGGGAAAGTGCACGAAGTATAAGAAACAGTGAAAATTTGTGACAGGATATTCACTATGATTACGTCGTTATTCAGGACTGTTATCATTCTGTGACATTGTACAAAGTTAATTTGAAGTAACGTTAGTTTGGTCATCCTTTTGGCCAGTTTCAAATCAAAATCGTTATTAGGCATACAATTACTATAGGTAATTAAATACTATATTTATTTATTACCTTTATTTACAGCGTTGGTGGAATCTTGACAGGATGAGGTTGTGTGAAAATAACGTTAATGTTGGATCAGAAAAGTGGATAAATGCTTCGAAATATTAAAGATTTACGGAATGACTACGTAACAAAAGAAAGATGTGAAATGGGAATATCATCTGGTTAGAATTTAAGATGAACTTATTCAAGTCATCTCATATACCTTCGCTATTGTAGGTTAAAGCAATACAAAGATGACACTAATACCATAGTAATATTTATTTGCAATAAATAATTACAAGATCCTACACAACACTATAACTGTCTGTAGTTTTTCTAAGACTATAGCGACGTACACAAAATAATGATGCAGAACGTAATGGACTAAAGACACGACATGCGATCAGAATTCTACATTCATCACATTTCTTAGGCGTTAGATAAAAACAGAATATTTTGTGGTACATTTTAAATAGTCAGAATCAATAACGAAGACTTTTGAATATGTTAAACGTTGTATGTTTTATTAAAAACAAACAAACAGACATCCATCTTCACTAACCAAAGTGTAATAAGAAGAAAATGAATTTTAGATAACGCATTTTCAAAAGCACTTGACGAACATTCATGAGATTTATGAGAAGTTACAACAATCTAACTAATTTAATTAAAATTAAAATTGTCACGTTTTATAGTAAGTGAAAATTATGAACTGACCACGTAGAAGTGGCCAGTAACCATAAAAATTGAGAACCCTTCCCTCCTTACATGATATATATTAACAGAACAGTTCAAGAGAAATGCAATTCTGTGTTAGAAATAGACATTAGAAAAATATTAATTTGTTACCTTAAGTTTCATTATAGTCACACTGAGGTTCTAGTTTTGTTGTTTGTTTTTGCTTTGGCACATGAGTAGAGATTTATTTTATTGATTGTGAGCACCCCTAAGAAAGGATATTAATAAAACATAATTTAATATTTAGTGTATGGACAACATTTAAAAAACAGATCACATAAACTTACGGCCACATATTGGGTATGTACAAGTCACGCAAGCATGGCATATTTACATAATAAGCTTCTACAATATATATAAACAATACAGCAGATAACACAAAGGAACAGTGATTAAGTGTGAAAATCGACACACTGAATATACCTTCAATTGTTCAGTAACAATACACCTAGGAACTCTTGCTAGACAATATTTTATGAGTTTATTAAGAAAATCTTTGGTACAGAAGTCAGCAAAGAAAACCATTTGTAGAGAAACAATTGCAAGCTGGATTTTTGACATCTTTCGAACATAATTAAGGTTACTGTGCGCGTAGCGCTCTTGTTATTTCAGTTCTGAGAAACAATCATCAACATCATTTCTTTCTCTTCTTGGACCTAACTAACACTAGTGTGTAGCACTCTCGTAATCACTGTTGGAGAACAATCGTCAACATCATTTCTTTCTCTTCTTGGACTTAACTAACACTAGTGTGTAGCACTCTCGTAATCACTGTTGGAGAACAATCGTCAACACCATTTTTTCTCTTCTTGAACCTAACTAACACTAG